CTCCTCCCCAACATCGGCATCCTCGCCAGCCTCCGGCGTTACAGGGTCATAGCCACAATTGACGCGAGCCTCTCGTGCCTTCGCTTGGGCTTCTTCATAAGCAGCCTCAGAAACATTGCCTGCCTCCCACAAACCATTGTAGATGTCTCGGTGGGCCTCAACATGAACCCAAAGCTCATGAAAGTGGCAAGGAACGGCAGCAGAGACAGACTCGATCTAAGCCAACAATTGTGCTCTCTCGGCCTCAAGCACCCCAATGCGGTCCCCAAGGCTCGAGGCCTCCTAGTCGATCTCGCCAATGTGCTCCTCGAGCCGCGCCTCCCTTAGCATGGTCGTTTCCCTCTCGGACTCCTGCTCGGATTGTAGGACGCGGATAGTATCCTCCAATGCCGCCACCCTTGCCAAGGACGCGCTCGAGCATTCTCGACATTCTCCAACTCAGACACTTTCCTCTCCAGCTCGGCTAACTTCCCCATCCATTCTGCACCCAGAACTTCGACTATGGCAGCACTTTATCCAGTTCAGCTTGTAATGATGACACCTTTGGCTGAAGGTGCTCGCATTCGGCACCAACCCTTTTTCCCAACTCGAGTTCTTCGTCCTTGGTACAAAGCAGTTCCTCGAGTTCACTACACCTGCGAATGGACTGCATCAGTTCCTGGTCCCGCTTTTCCAGCTCTTCTCCGAGGAATCGGGTATTAGCGCCCGCCCTGAGCCGCTCATGCATCTCACGGCACCTATTGCAATACCGCCTATACTTCTCAAGCATCGTTAGAAAGATCTTGGCCCGAGTCTCCGCCTTGCGAGCACTCTCTACCTCCAGCATGTAATACTGAAAACAAAGAGAGGGAGATAGTCAAGAAGGGCCAAAATTAAACAAAAACAAAAAAACAATGCAACAACGAACAAAGGGAAACATATAGAAAGAAACTCACCCTTAGGCCCATCGCAACCACCCCCCGTGATAGTTCGATGTCACTGACGTCCTGAAGAGCTCCACTCTCCGCGACCGAGCACAAGAGGTCAAATTGTGGCACAAAATCAACCGTGTCTTGCAAAAGGTTGAGGTCCGACGGAATCTCAAGTATCCGAGAAGGACCCCCTGCCATTACCACGGTCCGGGTGAAGCCCTCCTCAAACATCCTAACGTCGTCAGGATCAAGGTCGGACTCGGACTCGTAGTCATCGACCATGACGCCTTTCCCCCTCTCTTCGGTCCGAGAAGAAGTGCGGATCGGCCGGGAGGTCGAGGGGCCGCTCGAGACAGTAGTGGCAGCCTCGGGACTCTGTCTTCCCACTACTTCGGCTTGTTGATCTCTCGTAATCGGCGCAGCCTCTATGACCGGAGCGACACCGCCGACATCACTGCCGATATCACTGCCGACATCAGGTGTATTCAGGATAAGGTCGACCCCCGATGATGTTTCGGCTAAAGACGCCACCTCTAGGGCCATCCATCGTCTCTTCAATGGGCCCTCTCCGCTACCAGCACAGAGTGACTCACCTGTGCAACGGGCAGTAGGAACCGGAGTCTCGTGTTGGGAAGTAGCCGTCGCGTTTGCAGCTCCGGCCGCAGGCGCAGATTAGTTAACGACCCTCGATGCAGGACGGATAGCAGCCCTCGGTAGAGGGTGCAGGATCCGGTTCTTCTCCGGCAGGGCTATTGAAACCAGTCCATAATTTCCCCAGACGGGGAAATATCTCGGCCGCCGTTAGAACTCCCTCATCTTCCATCGCCTCCATCCCATCTCCGAGAGGAGGTGCGTCATTTTCTGGCACTGGAACTTATACGAACCTATCAGTCTGGGAAGAAGTACCAGTCATCTGTTTGAACTGATCGGAATAAATAAGTATGATGAAGGAAGAGAGAGGATTGCAGCGTCTGATTCTGACAAAAGCAGAAGTTGAGACTAGAAGTATGAAACGGGGAAGAAGGTGAAAGTTTGCGAATTTCCTCAGATGAATCGATAAATGTAACGACCGAATGGTGGTTTTCCCCCTATATAACGTAAATGTCCCGAGCGGGAAACCCAAGAGCTGTCAATCAAAAACTGATAGGGCACGGGAAACGATACGGTGCCTGGGAAACGTGCGTCGTAATGATACATAGGGGGTATTTATGACGCATCGAATCGATGCAGCGATTCAACTCCGAACTGACATAACGGTCCGATGATACCATTGAAGCATCACGTCGCCACCTCGACCTAAGGATCTCGTCCAACATGTAACATTCAGATTTCTCCTAACTTTTGAATCGACAAAGTCCGTCCGTCGAGCCCGCAAAGAGGCGACCTCGACAGACGGAGGGACTAACTGTATGGGTCAAAATCTGATTGGGAATGGTCGTCCTTGAGTGGAGTGATAAGGGGTCGACCAAGCCGTAATCATGTTCGCGGGGCGAGGCAGCAAAGAGTACCTCGGCCATTTCCGGTGCCAAAGTGTCGAAAGGTTTATGCCATAGGGTAGCATCATGATCAAGCAAACAATGAAGTGTACAATCGTTAGAAAGTACGCCGGTCAAAGACCATTGGACAAAAGGGAAATTTAATATATATAGGAGGGGCTAAACCCAGAGGAGGTGGATTTTTTCCAGACAGCCACTATGGTAGCCAACAAGAGAAACCTCTTCGTTGTCAACAGCTCCTCTTCTTCCCCTTCCTTGCCCTCACGATCATGGTACAAATCTGTCGCAGATGTAAGCTCATCCCCCATGTTTGATGTACATTTTATTACATTAAGAAATATTACATGCTCTTATTCTGCTTCTACTTTCGCACTTTGTACGTTCAGATCTGGGATTAATTATGTTTGGCTAAGATTTACCTTCTATATTACTATTAATTAGTTCGACAAAAAGGGTTTTACATTTTATGCTCAAACACTACTATGACCCAAGCCAGTCACGAATGTAAGCTTATCGTTCTCATTCAATTTAAGATAACTATCTCAAGAAATATTAAATTGGTTTATTCTCTCCCGATTTTCGTACTCGATATGTCGCGGTCTAGAGTTAATTATTTTTGGTCAAGGTTTATCCTCTACTCCATTCATTAATTGGTTTAACAAAAAGTATAATACTTTTTGGTCAATCAGATGAAATAGAAGTAATTTATACAATTATACCTAATTAAGTTAAACTCTTTTGGAAAAATTCACCGCTGAGTAGTTGGAAGAGCAAATTAGTAAAAGGACGTTATGTATGCAGACGATCTTATGTGATATAGACTTTCGAGTAGAATTGGGATTTTTACCTAGCTATACTATAGTAAAAACCTATTTACCTATATTTTCTATGTTTTGTAGTTTTTAATAAATATCTAGGTTTTCTTACAAATTGTATATATTACTCCATAAAAGGCTCTCACCCCATTATTAGTGTCTTCAATTAAGGGATTCAATTACATCCTTTCCTTTTTTCCTCTCTTCTCTTCTCTCTCCTTTTTCTTACATCAAAATCTCTTAATTTACACCAGAATCTCCATCTTCTCTCTTCCCACCATTGCCGACAGGTTTGTATTATTAAAAAATATTCAGAAATTGTATGATAAATGTATCATAATTGTATTTGAATTGTATTAGATGCATCAATGCCTAATACATAATTGTATCATACTTGTATTACAATTGTATCTAACTTGTATCTGGTACATTAATACCTAAAATAATACCTAATACAATACTAATAAATTAATATACAATTATCGTACTTGTGATATAAACTGTGAAATTCGTCATGAACTCACAACTGCTCGTAATAATATACAATGAATATACAATTATCATACATTTGTAATACAATTCCTGCAACAATTATGATACATATACAACTATAATAAAATCGCGATACATTAATTTTTAAAATTTGTGATACAATTATGATCTTCATCTTATTCAAGTTTCAATCATAACTCTACACTAAAAATTTAATATACTCGTATTAAAATTGTATTAGTATTGTATCGAGTATTGTTTTGGGTATTGATGTATCATATACAAGTCTACAATAAAAAATTTAGGAAAAAAGAAAACATGATTTAAAACTTACCCAGAACTTGATTCCATATTTCAAATTTCGTTTGCATTGTATCAATACGAAATAGAGATTTTGGGTGATTAGTAAGAAAGAGAGAAATTAAGTTTGAAAACCTTTGGAAAAGAAAAAGAATTGGAAATGCGATGGGGGATATAAAAATAAAAGAGAGATTTTCGGTGATTATTAAGAAAGAGAGAAAAAAGGAACATAATCTTAAATGTAGGAGGAGTTATTGGAAATGTGTTATAACTGACAAGCTAAAATTAAGGGATCTTGAATTTTTTCTTTTTAATAGTTTTGTATATAACTTGTAAATATAGATATACAAAGTAATTAATAAGGAACCTAAATAAATGTGGTAAATAAATTTTTACTATAGTATAACTAGGTAAAAATCCCTAAAACGTTTGCATCTTTTTTTGTTAGAGGGCTCCCACTGGCTACTTGTTTACAACTCAGTTTCTTCTGAAAATACATCAAGCTTCAAATCTACAACATGTCTTTAACATAAAATAGGGAATGTGCTAGCGGGGCAGCCCGGTGCACTACACTCCCGCTATGCTTGGGGTCCAGAAAGAGCCGGACCACAAGGGTCTATTACGCACCCTTACCAGCATTTTTGCAAGAGGCTGTTTCCAATGTGCTAACGGGGATAGAATTTAAAAAATGACCCGAAAAAATGCCATACAGTGCAAATAATCCGAAACGAAATAGATCATACAGAGGAATTGGTCACCAGATGGGATGTGCTTCAAGCCTCAACAACTAACTAAATAGATGTTGTCTGATTTCGACAGTAACACAATATCAGAAACTTATTACAGTTACCTCTATCTCCTTATTTTCCCCGCTCGTACACAAATCAAAAGGAATACAATGAGCATACACACCAATCCTATCAGCAGGAAAAGAGGGGGGAAAATATCTGTCAAAATTTAATAACAAAATCATGTACAGACTTCAGTAGCATAAACTTATAAAGAATCATGCTTTGACCAAAAATTGCTGTTGATCCTTTGTAACTCACGTACAACTTGGTTTCTAGTTTCTACACAAGGAAACAATCATAATAAAAAAGAAAAGATGTACAAATAAATTGCCTTTAAGGTAAACCTAATTTTCTATGCAGGAAAAATCTGTCACTAGAACTATAAGTCTATAACCCTCCATCGTCGTCTTCTAACAAGTAATCATGTGTTCCTTCATTTAAGGAGAATACCCCTGGAATTACATATATCAAAAGAATTGAAAAAATGGGGAGAAATATATGACCTTAGGATATACAAGCAAGATATACAAATCATTCCGCAGATTTTCCACTTTGCGTGTTCTGTAAATCATTCTGCGACCTGTTGGGAGTAATCGTATGAGGTGACCAGTGATCCGGAACCATAAGAAAATAGGTGGTCATTGCCTTCCGGAACCTCTTTTTGTATTGCTTAGGTGAAATTACAGTCGGAGAGACGTTCTTGGGCCCGCCAAGGATGCCGGAGGCCTTAACCCACGTCTCTAGGTGTTTGTCCCATGTATACTGTCTCATGAAGTCAATAATCCCAAGAACAAGTTCATGCTTCTCTTCGTCAACCCCGACTAATAGTGAGTAATCCATCACATCAACTGACTGCAAAAATAACAACTAAGTTAGTCCAAAACCATAAAGATATCTGCTAAAACATAGACTCACATGTTTATAGGATTAGGCAACATATGTGATAGCTTGTTAAGTAAGAGGACAATGAAAGACTGCGTTAAGTAAGACATCTGACTTCTTATTATGGAGTGTAGAAGAGTAACTAAATATCAAATAACCACATTAAAAAGAAACTTGGGCATCCTTGAGCTTTTCTCTTTCCTTTTTTCTCAGCACAGAGTTGAGAATAAATTCATTGAAATGAACAGATTCATTTACTTACTGCAAGAAAAGCAGTGTCATTCCAGACTGCTCGTTCCAAAAGTCTCTTGGCTTTGTTTCCAACAAAAATAGGCGAAGTTGGCATTGACTCGATCAAATTCTGATCCAGCAAGACCTTATTGCTTCCACTACAGTCGGGATTGTAACGAGACCTGGAAGATCCTTTAAGGTCATAAAGCCGCGTTAGATTCCTCCCAAATAGAAGGTTCTCCATAACTAGCACATCCATTTTAGATTCCTTCCCTCCTTTAAAATGCTTAGATGTCACCTTCACATAAACAATAGACTTTATAGTTATGCAAAACGACCAGATACTCATAATCATAGTTGATATAATGTCTTATGAAAATTCCCAAGAATATGAAGTGAGGGAATAATCAAGAAACTTATTATTTTAGTCTTTAGACACTAATTACACATCAAAGTTTGTCTTCATAGAAGATAAATATGCACCCCATGTTTTGAGGTTAATTCACCCACAAGGCTATGGAACCATGACAACTATAACTCGAAAGACTTGGCCGACCGTAAAGATGACTATGTATTCATGCAGACCATCATGCTCCCTTCTCAAGGCAAAGAGCCAAAAAGAAAGGTATCTCATTTACCCAAAGACACCAGTGAAAATGGATTGTGCCTTAACAGACCAATCCTAGTGAAAACTTCAGGCGAAAGTAAATAGTAATTCAAAACCCAACTGGTGGCTTCAAATATGTCAAGTCAAACCATAAAACCAGGAATAAATTATGTTAAGCGCACCTTCCAAATGTGAGACTCGTCTTTGCCCCTTAAGAAATACTAGATTCAAAACAAATGTTGCATTGTGCTGTTGCAGGTCTTTTCCCTTCTAAGACTATATCAATCACTTGGTATAACAAATGGCCTAATAAATCTTATTCACAAAATCTGAGAAGCTGTAGTAATTAGAGTATTTAGAAATACCTGATAGATCCCCAGAATTTTAGCCAGGCAAGTAGGACTCCTTGAGCTTACTGATTCAGAAAGATATTTAAAATATGCAGGAGCAAATTTTATAAAAGATTCCAGCTCTGTCTTGGTCACTTGCTTAATAATGAATCGATCATCCAACGTTTTAGCAAAGAAAACATTGCTCTTGCCCCCTTGGGCTCCCCACTTCTTACAGCGACTAAGAGATCTTATGAAATCCATCTCAGATGGGCAACATATCCTCCTCAAAGCTTCAAAGCGCTTCGCAAAATAACAAGTCACTGTATACTTCACTTTCCCTAGTGGTCCATCATCTGAAAAGGAGACTCTAGCATGCATTGCCTTTGTGTATGAGAGTGGATCCAAAACCGAAGAGCTATGACTACTGGACGAAGACAAGATACTCTCATCAGCAGATCCAAGACTTCTGTATGATTCTAATACCATTTCATCCATAGATTGAAGGGACTGCAGACTTCCAGATTCCAGGGACTGCAGCGGAAGGTTAGAGTCCAAACTAGAATCCTTTGATTTCTCTAGCTCATCAGCTAGTTGTGCAATATAATCCTGTGAAACTAGTGCGTAAGATATAATACTAGTGGGCTCGTCATCATACACTGGTATAATGGTATCATTAACCCCAACAGGTAGGAGCAACCTGGCTCCGCCTTGGGCCTCTGACTCTCTAAATGAGGAAATGTAGACAGGGCTGTACTCGCCAAGCGTATCCAACTTCTGAGCACTTGGTAAAAAGTTTTTGTTCAGTGACCGGTAAAAGCTAATAAAAGACATACCTAACCATCCCCCGGCGTCTTCCACATTTTCAGATCCTTTAGAGGACAAAGAAGGAGGAAATCCAGACGCCTTAGTTCCGCCATGTTCCTCACCAGGGTCTTCAACGTCCACTTTTTCTGCTAATCTAGTTGTTGAAGAATCTGCAGTAAGTGGTTCAGAAGATCTGCAAGTACCATCCTTCAGCACTCCGACAGCGGAAGTAGTTTCACCAGTCCAAGCTGCCTCAAGAGTATCTGACAAATTATCCATGATCGGGGACTGCCCGTCAGAAAGGGCTCTGGAACCCTCTATATTGGATTCCGCAGAGTTCAATCCAAAGAAGCTTTCTGTTCCAACAGGAAGATCTGATGGTTTTTCAATTGCACAACTAGAATCAAAGAGAACCTCAGATCCTTGATGATCTGCATCCACATGATTCTTTTGGCCAAAACTTACTCCATCATTAGATTTTGCATCAAGTACTCTAGTTGCAGAAACAGAACCAGAGACATTCAAATAATCACTGGTCCTATCTGGGTCAGTGTACTTATCATTACCGACCAGGGGTTTCTCTCCTGTAACGCAATAAGCCTCGCATTCTAAGCTGGCTGCATATACAAGTCGGTGATCCCACATATAAGACTGGAAAATGAGTTGTCTTCGCAACCGATTAATCTCGAAAATATCAACCACTGGCTGCACCTTTTTCGCCTCCTTGGTCAGAATTTTCTGGAGAGATTCCTGCTAATACAGAATACCCAGGAAAACCCACAAAGAGCAAATTAACAATTGTTTTACAAAATCATTGCTTTAAATCCCTAACATAAGTCAGACAATTAAGAATTCCAGTCAATTAGTTACATGATGTTAGAATCATGATACACGTGAAAGTTAAGTATCAATGCAAAAGGTTGATAATGACGGCAAGCAAGTTAATTTCTGATGCATCAAAGCAAACGTTAATAGAATCTGCAACATGGGCAGTGAAGACAATTCCACCACTTTCTGTCTCACAAGCGCAAGGTGATAAAAGCAGAACTACTGAATCACAAAGAGACATATTTGTACATGGGTTGCAGATAACTAGAGTGAAACAAACAGGAACTCATACTTGATTATTACTTCCACCAACACCCAACAAACAAACACAATTAGAGGTGTGGAGGGAAGGAGAGAAAGTGCTTTGTAATATAACCAGGACCATGTTATGCAGTTTACTTCTGAAGACTTTGCAGAAGCTAAAGATAATTAATATTCAGAAGTGAAGACTTTACTTCAAATTCTTCTTTCTCCTTCTGCAGCATCCCTTCCAAAACAGCAATCTGACCTCTAGCTTCAGGTGCTTTAACGCTGCTGTTAAATTGACCAACAGATCGTTTCTCCACCAAAAGACGGATTGCATTCAGAACCTCAGAAAACAAACGTTCAGCTCGACTAACAACCTGCTTAAATTATTCCATGAAAACAAGTACACGGTGAGATTAGATGCGACTTTATACCACACTCAGAAGTCCAAATCACATTCATCACACCTCGTTCACTTCTTGTTGTATCCAGTCCTGATTTTTCTCATAGTTGAAATCCAGCTTTGCAGGAGGAAGGCACACTGAGTGAACATCAATTGACGCATAGCGAAAGCAAGCAACCATTTTTCCGAAACTGCATGTGTCACAAATTTACTAACATTGCAAAAAGATACTCAAAAGTAATAGCCAAAAACGATGGATAACTAGAGTGAAACAAACAGGAACGATGGATACAACATTGCTACATACACTTGAAAATAAAAGGGGAACCATAGTTTTAAAAACAGACGCCATTTTATGTAGATTATTTTCATGCATTGACAAAATAAATTGCAAGCTAGCACTAGACTATACCAACATGACAAAGAAGGGAGCAATAAAATTCAATCAAGAAACACAAGGGAGAGAGGTACTGTTATTTGAGCAGAACATGACACCAGCTAATCATGCCAACAGATTTAAATATTTTGCATGACACCAAGAGAAGAAATGTTTGAAGTGCTCTTACATTTATAACACTGCAGGCAACAAACAAAATGAGAGCATACCCATAAAACCGAAGACAATCTCTATGTAAAGAATGGCCGCAGCTAGCTACCCTGCTAGCAGCTGCATGGTTTGAAAAACTAAGTTCGAGAAACTTCCCAAAGGATAAGCCCCAAGCAGCATCGGACATCACTATTCTTTGAGTTGCTGGAGGAAAGCCCTTAACCCGTGGACATCTGAGGCACCTGTGCCACATCCATATTTTTCCTTCCCTTTCACCAGGCAAAAGAAACTCTGGCAGCTTCTTAACAGAAATAGTTAGAGTGCCTTGTCGATGAGTATAACACTGCACATGTGCTTCTGAAGGCATCTCACATGAACGACATCTGTAACTCTGCGAAAGAAAGGGGAACAGATATTTTCAGACTCGTAATTATATTCTTAATGTTTTGGGCATAGATGGAAAGCGAAGAGGAGAGATTTACTTGATCAAACAAATTGTCTCGTAGATATCGACCCAATGGCTTATCAAAGTTTCCATAGTATTTGATCCGAAAGAGATGGGACCTTTCACAGACAGTTCCTTTCCAAACACATCGGGATGATAAGGAAACCAAAATGCTTTGATGGTCAGACGGAGACGGAGGAAACTCTTCCTTTGAAGAAGCTGGTTCATCGGGAACATGTTCTCCGTCTAGTTGCAAAACCATTGGATTTGAGCCACTTTGGTTCACAGCCACAGCAATGCAATTTTGAACATTCTGTGATAAACAACATTGTTCTGCATTCTCTGAAGGCGTTAATCTGGAATACTCTATCATATCCACGATACCTCTGTCCACAGATGCACTAGTTGCGGAGGGCCCACGGAAGGAAGTCTCAGTGCGTGCTGCAGTTGGGAACTCTGTCATACCCATTGGCTGAGCACAAAGGCTTGCAGCCTTGACCAGGTCTGTTGTGGGAATGCTACCTGATCTCTGTGGTGCACCACCACATAGTGGTGATTGAGTTTTTTCAGTGGAAGGAAAGGTAAAACCAGGTATTGTTGAGATTGACCGGTCAATAGTTGATGATTTATCTGGAAGTGCTACAGTTATTGGAGAATTCAGAGGCAGTTCAGGTAGAGATGCTCCCTCATCAGCAAGAAAAGAAGTTTCCAGACCCAAATGATAAGCTGCAAAAATTGAATATTGAAAGACACGCTTTACTTTCTTCAACTCATCCCCATTTGCGCCACGGAGTAATACCTGAGACAACAAATATCAAGAGAGCCAAAGAGTATTTAGAAGTCTATATATGACAAAATGTAATGTGTACACATTAGATGTCGTAGAAGTAATTTGGCCATGTTAAGAGACTGAAAACCACCAATAATTTTCTCATTATAGTTCTAGTAATCGACGACAGACTTACAGTGCATCCCAGTGGCTTTGGACAGCCTTCAAAGTACATTAGAGTCTTCACCAGCTTCTTTCCACTCTGCCCGGCTGTACCATGCTCTTCGAAAAACTTCTCAACATGGAACATGTCACAGTATCCCAATTTTTGAGAGGAGAGATGATCTATTGAAGGTACTATTTGACTACCTGTGCAGCGGGCTATACGCTCCAAAAGTGTCCTCTTGATATTTAAGACAAGTGATATGTCCTTTGCCAGGAGGTACTCTTGTGCATAGCGAGAAACAGATTTTTCCACCAGAAGAACATCTGGTTGGTGTGCATCAATTTTGGCAACAGCCATCTTGAGATGATCCATTTCCTGAATAGCAACACACATCTATAAGCACAAGAGCTAAACACTATCTGCTCCAAATATGGGAAGACAAGGTTATTCATCAAAACCTGCTGCAACAAAGTATCAAAACTTGATAAGTGGTTGGAGACACGCTGGTACTCAAGAGCCCCTCCAAGGATTAATATGCGAGGCTTCTCAATTTTGGACGTCATTCGTCGATGAGCTACGTTTTTCTTGCAGACAACTCCTTTCACCACCGCACTATTTAAGGGGGGAAAGTTTCATATTAAAGGAATATTTTTTAGGATGTATGCAACATCACAACAACAGCTACTACTACGCCTAAAACCCAAGCAAGTTCGGAATGTATGCAACATCCAAAGAGGTAAAAATGGTAGAGAGTGCACAACAAGAACAAAAATGATTACTATTATCGACCAAGAACACACTCGCAAGCAAAAGAAAGCTGCCAAATGTATGTAATAAGTTGTTACCTAGCACAACTATATCTAGTTTACAAATCATAGAGTGAAAAGCACAATGTCAATATCTTCATTGTTTCGTACTTTGCGAAAACCACTTTGACCAAATATTTCTCAAGGCAAGAATTTACAAGTTTCTAGGGAAGTTCCCAAGTATCAAATAGAATTGTATCAATGAAAGACTCTAGTAATTTGAAGTTCCTTCAGAAATCACAGCAGAAAAAAGGAAGTAGTGTGTGTGTGTGTCTGAGAGAGAGAGAAAGAGCCTGTGTGCGCGGAACATGAACCCTCAAGAAAGCTCCTGTTTCTCCTATTTCAAAAGTTTTCTGTTGCTGCTTATCCTAACTACATACACAAGAGGCAAGGATCCAACACCAGCTGAACAGCATTGTGTACAAAAATGAATTTTTTTTATTTTGCTTACCTGTCACTACGATGCCCAGATGCTACATATTTCACCTTTACGTATCCCCCAGGGTCCATCCCTCCGCCCTTGCTAGTGTCTGGTTTCAGAAGTGTGGCAGCTTCCCATGACAGGGATGTAATAATCTCCAGCCAACTCTCTTTTTCATCTTCCTCATCGATGGCAAGTTTTTCAACCTCCATAAGCTGTGATACTAAAGCCCTGAAGTGGCCATCAACCACATTTTTCACAGCCTTTTTCTGCTCCTCATTTGACCTATCCCTACTTCTAAATTCACCACTTCCAAAGCTGCTTGATGACCGTAAACATCCCCACTCTCCTGCAGCATCCCCGTCCTCATCATCGTCATATAGAAGTGCTTCCCTTTCATCTTCTTCATCTTCTGGTTCAGGTGGAAGCCACAGAACTCCATTGTTCTCAAAATCCACAGGTTCCAGATTAGCATCTTCTGCAACATTTAGGGATGAAGGCACTTCACATTCATCAGAGATGTCCTGTTTTACAATCTGCTGGACTTCTTCGGAAGCCTGGGAATCAAAACTATTGTGTAAGGAAGAGCTGCTCACACTTTTTTCATCCATAGCGTCTCCGTCAGCGTGTACTTTATGAGATCCATAGTCCTTTTTGATCTCGTCATACTGAACGTGGCCATAGTAGCCATTAACCTGAGGAAAATGCCCCTGGGAATCTAACTGGTAAACACCATATTCCTCTTCTTCATCATCACTCCTGATTCCACAATATAGCAGCAAACAGTCAACTGATACTGAAACATGTTTGTGAACACGAGTAGTTGGAAAAACAGGTAACTAAAAATGCAACACAGAACAATTGGCTTGCTCAGGACAAATAATCAAGGTGTGGCCTACCAGGCAGCAAACTTCAGTTATTAGTGCTTTGCCAAGTTGCTTCTGGTATCATTTCTTTTACCTGCTTCTTGATTAATTGAGAGAAGGAAAGGGATTTTCACTTATTGGGACAAATTGCACATTCGTTTTAGAAGGGTATTCAAATTGGTTAGAATATGTCCAGATACATCGTTGCCGAGAATATCTTCAGATTCATTGTAGAAAATCATATAGGATAGACTAGAATATTGCGTCTTATTTAGGAGTTCATTTCGCATTAAGTATATTCCTTTTAAAAAAATTAACATACTTATTAGAGTAGTTTAACAACTCTTATATTATTTTGAGTGTAATCTTCAAAAAAACAATTTTTCTCTCCCCTTGTCTCTCTTTTCACATGGTAGATTACCCTTTCCAAAACCCATTCCGTTACTTGTAAGTTTTAGTTTAACGTTCAAATGTGATCCCAAAATTGGATTACATGTGCAAGACGGGGTTGAATTTGTAGTTGTCCAACATGGGTTGTGTAAGAGCTTCCAAAGAGGTTTCTAAAGGTACTTTCTAATTCCTTGCTACTTTGGTTGGCAAAAACTTGATTTCATGAAAAAGCAAGAAGCAAGATGTGGTTGCGAGTGCAGAACCTGAGTAACGAGCTACGTCTTTAGAACACATGTGCTTATGTGGTTGATTTCACACAAATCCTTAAGAGGATTCAAACATGCAATAGCATAATAGAGAGAGGTATACCACGGAGTTAGGATGTTCATACGCTATCGAAACTAGGGGCAAAAGTGCTTTCTTCACTGCTTAGTAAGAGATGCGCATAGTGATTAAGGCAATCCAGTCATTCACATTTGACAACAAAGAAACTCATAAATGGTGCAACTTTCCAAAGTCCAAACAACAATCAACGACAAAATAATAGTTGGTTTGATTTCTTTTTCGTTAATTTGTTCAAATCGACTAATAATAATAGAAGATGTAAGACAAACCTTGTTGTGCAAAATGCATATTGGTTTAGGGAAGGGTCCAAAACCCCTTTACTAGCAGGATCAAAGCTCCCTCTCGATGTTGCAACATTTTGCGTCTCTAGAGTAGATTCTGTTACAGTTGATTTGCATGGACTAAGTACCGAAGAATGTGGCACTGAAGTAACGGTAATGCTACTGCTCTCACCAGTTCCAGTAGACTTGAAGCTAATAAAACTGGTTGCAGAAGGCGAAGAAGTACTCGTATGCAGGTTAGCAATCTGAGTTCTAAGACTAGCAGCTAAACCTTGCTCCCATTGCTTGAAACAGTAATTGCAAACTCTGATCTTTTCCCACTCATCTTGTAGTGGCCTTGGCTCACTGGATGGTGCAGGAACCCAATTAGATGTGCACTTGCCACAGAATACTCGCCCACAAAGACGACAATGATGCCTACGGTTAAACAATGTGAACTGAGAATCACAATCATAACATACTCTACAGCTATGATCGGGCATCCAAAAATCCCTCGACACATTATCAGGCTCATGTCGCCAGGGGATCCACGATTTCAGTAACTTTAACAGATCAGAAAACGTCCTATTCGAGGCATCCATTGACAACAATAGAGAGGCCTTTGCCTCTCATTGCTATAACCTCATTCAGTAACAAAACTCATATCCAAATTGCTGCAACAAAATATCAGCATAGAGCCCCTGACAAGTGCCCAACATAGAAGATTCAACAAACTATTCACTGATTACAGAACTATTATCAATTCCTTAGCCTTATATCAGCATTTTCCAAATCAATATATATCAAAAATGGCTGGCTGCCAATAGGTTCCAATTAACTGGCATTAAATAGAATTCCTTTGAACTGCCCTCTGAATCAAAACACAAAATACCCACTTCACAGAATCCAACTCTTGATATGGTAATAAAATCAATTCAAAAAATCCCCCATAGAAAATTCAAGACACCCAATTGGAAAGAAAGCCAAATAAGGAAACCCCAATCACCTCAACAGCAAAAAAGATTGAATCTTTAACCTCTATGCGGCGGAGACTAATAAAGGGAACAACTTTTCTTGATAAAAATTCAAGAAACCACCATTTTTGCTTCTCATCAATCAATTCCTGAAATAAAAATCAAAACTGTCATATATGAATAATTAAATAGCTGAATCACAACATAAAATAAAGGACTATACAAAATGAATCAAAGCAAAAAATATTTACTAGGAATAGAAAAATGAACAAGAAAAGGACAGTGCCTTTTAATGATATAATTTCAGGGGGCTCGCAATTTACCCTTTTTGCAGAATCAAATGGGACCAAACAGATCAGCAAATGAAAGACAAAAATTATAACCAAAATTATATAGCCACGTAGATAAATATACCCCTTTTTCGGGGAGGTAGGTGAGTACGTCAATTCAATCATGCAATTTTACTCTTTTTTTCTTCTTCTTGTTCTTCCAATTTCAATAAATCCACTGTTATATAATTAGGTGATTGAGTTTTTTTTTTTAAGTTGCAAATAAAAATTTAATAATGATATCTGTCAGTCATATCTTGGTTTTATTGTTTTGCTTTAATGACCACCCTCAAGAAAATCAACTTTACCGAACCATATTTCCTTTTTTTCCTTTTATAATATATACCAAGGGATATAATAATACTAAGAGTCCGTTTGGACATACAAAATTTTTTCTTTTTTTCAAATTTTTTTTTGAAAACAACGTTTGATTGTCCCATTCTTACCAATTTTTCCTTTTTCACTTGAAAATCCATTTTCAAATTTGAAAAACTGATTCTTACCACTTTTTCAATTGAAAATGGAAATTGCTAGTTTTTAATTTTACCAATTTACCCTATATTTTTAAAAAAAAATTTAAAATAACCCCACCAATTTTTCATCTTTGGCAGATACATCTTTGGCGACTGATGGTGGAATATCAGTCCTTGTTGATTTTGCATCTTCTGTGTATTGCAATAAATCAGAATATGATAACAGTTAAACAATAGAATTTTGATTGTTTATTTCAAGTAGGATAATAAAATTGGGATGGTTTTGATATTTTTACAAGTTGTAGGGAATAAATCATGTTTCATGATTTTGAAAAAAAGACATCCAAATATATATTGCAAAAATTATAGCCAAACACAACTTCATCTTCAATTCAAATTCTAGTGAAATTCCAAATTTAAAAAAAAAATGGAATTCATGTCCAAACGCCTACAAAATTTAAATTGGATTGGATTCAACTAACTCTATGCATGAGAATATCTTTATCTGATAGTAGTAAAATCATCATTAAAAGGGAACTTCAAAGAATGAAAACGAATATTCAAGGAATTAACTTCATAAAAATAATTCACTCAACACATAAGTTTGTGAAAGAAAATTCGAATCATCATCAAAAGGGAACTTCAAAGAATGAAAAAGAATATTCAAGGAATTAACTTCATAAAAATAATTCATTCAACACATAAGTTTGTAAAAGAAAATTCAAGGAAATAATTTCGTATAACGTCTTAAAATTTCAATAAGAAACGATTAACGAGGGCAATCGATAAGAATCATACGATTTTCTTGTTTGTATTCAAATAAAGTCCCTCGTTCTTTATTTAATGGAGTAATTGTTTACCTCCAAAAATGTGAGTAACAATTAAAGGTGATTTATGATTTTAAAGATATGTGATTTATTTCAATACTAGTGAATATACAAGTAATATTAGGTTTAAGTAAGAAGAATTGATGAATCAAACCAGCGTTGTTAGAGTGACTGGGACCTCGAGCTCGATTGATTCGTGTCAGGACCCTAGTTCACCGACTGTGAACATGTCATGACGGCACCTAGTCCCCACGACCAGGTAAGCCTAATATTGCGGAAATATAATAATTGCGAAAAAATAGAGGAAACCAAATTAAATACTAAAAGAAACTGTACTGAATGCCGCTCGGCATGTACAACTCAATATCACAAGTTCAAAATAATTCCCAGAACCCGGAAACTCACGGGCAACACAGGCTACAGAAGCGAAAAGTAAAGGCTCCAAACTCCAGAATATCTAACAACTGGAAGAAGAAAAAACTAAGTACTAGAGATAGAGTAAGAGGGAGACTTGTCGGTCTGCGGACGCAGCAAATCTACCTCGAAGTCTCCGTAGTCCTCCTGCCTCACCGATAATGCGCCTGAGTAGAGGTACCTGGATGATCTGCACATGAAAAACATGCGCAGGAAGGGCATGAGTACACCACAGCGGTACTCAGTAAGTGCCAAGCCTAACCTCGGTTGGGTAGTGACGAGGAAGGTCAGGGCCATACTGAGACAAAATATAGTAATAACAATAATTAACAGTATGATAATCTGACAGAAATAATAAATACAGCAGTGAAATAAGGCAGGTCAACGAGACAATAACAACCACAAAAGGACAGAGCAAACACAGAGTAAACACAACTCAATACCAATGATAACAATGAGGGTCTCCCAGGATACCGTCCTGTAGCCCTTTCCTCAACTGTCCAGTGGATCTCCCGGGATACCGTCCCGCAGTCCAACTCATATACCAAACCGAAGGATCTTCCGGGATACCGTCCCGTAGTCCAACCATAAAAATGCAGGGGGATCTATCGGGAATCTAACCCGCAGTCCCAAAGTAAAAGTGCAGGGGGATCTACCGGGAATCGAACCCGTAGACCCAAAGTAAACAAACAAGGGGGGAGCTACCGGAATCCCACATCCGTAGTCCCAATGTAAATGCACAACCACAGCCAGAAACAAACCAAGGAATAAAGTACGAAAGACAGAGCAACAGATAGAATTAGCCTAGCATGCTTCACGTAGTACAGTCAAACAACTTAAGCAATTAGGCAGTTAAGTCAGCTAAACATGCTTTCCAAATCTAGCACAAGTATAATTTCAAGTAGGATAAGGCAAGTAGGGAAAGAAAGCTAAATATCAACAACTTAAGTGAAAACCGGATTTTCATCAATCGGCTCAAGTACGCGCTCGTCACCTCACGTACAAGGCACTCAATTATCAAGAAAACAATCCTAAGGGGAAAAGTCCCCCACACAAGGTTAGACAAGCCACTAACCTCGAACCGGCTCGATATCAGTAGAAACCACGCCTTTGCACGAGTATCTGACTCCAAATGGCCCAAATCTATTCAATTCAATTATATATGGTAAATAATATTGCAAACAACTGATTTCGCTATTAATATTAAAGCTAGGGCGCGAAAATAGATAAAATGACCAAAACGCCCCTCAAGCCAAAGTCTCGGAATCGAATAATTTTCACATTTTTAGAACCCTCGTACTCTCACGAGTCTAACCATATAAAAATCTCCCAAATCGGAGGTCAAATGCCCACTCAAAATTCAATAGTCTAGCCAATGAAGTTTTACCCCAAATTATCCAATTTTTGGTCCAAAATTCGAATTCCCATGATGTATTTAACTATATAATGATGAAATATAACAAAAAGGGATCAAAGAAACGTTACCCAATGATTTTCTCCTCAAAACCCACTCAAAATTACCCAATGATTTTCTCCTCAAAACCCACTCAAAATCACCTTCTCCCGAGCTCTCAATCGATTTTTCAAACTTATGAAATTAAACCCTCGAAATTGCTATTTCTGAAAAGTGAATACCGCTTCTGCGGTCCCGCCTATGCGAAGCACTGGCCGCTTCTGCGGCTCCCTTTAAAAATCCCAGCTTCCGCTCCTGCGGTTCCCATCTCGCAGAAGCGGATCCGCTTCTGCGGAAATCCTACCGCTTCTGCGGTTTCCTGGAGGGTGACCAAAAGTTGCTTCTGCGACGTCCAAGGCTGCTTCTGCGACTCCGCTTCTGCGGTTCCCAGGCTGTAGAAGCGAAAATACCAGAAAGAAAAATACCAGCTGCTGCAACACTTGAAAATTTTCTCCGTTAACCACCCGAAATCATCCCGAGGCCCCCGGGACCTCAACCAAAAGCACCAATACCACCTAATACCTTATTCGAACTTGTACAAATCCTTAAAACACCTAAAACAACACCGGAAACCGATTCAATCAAAGATTCAAGCCTAAGAACTTCAAATTTCTTCCAAATACAATTTCGATCAAAAACCTAACCAAAACACGTCCGAATGACCTGAAATTTTGCACACACGTCCCAAATGACATGATGGAGCTACTGCAACCTTCGGAATTCCATTCCGACCCTCAGATCAAAAACTCGCTATCGGACCGGAACTTCAAAAATACAAACTTCGGCATTTCAAGCCTAAATGAGCTACGGACTTCCAAAATACATTCCAAACACGCTCCCAACCCCGAAATCACCTAACGGAGCTAACGGAACCATCGGATTTCCATTCCGAGGTCGCCTTCACATTGTTCCGACTGCGGATTATTTTTCAACACTTAAGCTCTCATTTAGGGACTAAGTGTCCCCAAAACACTCCGAATCCTAACACCGAACGTCCCGGCAAACCAAAATAGCAGAAATGAACTTAGGGGAAGCAGTTAATGGGGGATCGGGGCGTAAATTCCAAAAACGACCGGCCGGGTCGTTACATCCTCCTACACTTAAAAATTCGTTCGTCCTCGAACGAGCATAAAGAACATACCTGAAGTAGTGAAAAGATGAGGGTACTGGCTGCGCATATCCTGCTCAGTCTCCCAAGTCGCCTCCTCGGCCGGCTGACCCCGCCACTGAACCTTCACTGCAGCAATGTTCTTTGACCTCAACTTTCTGATCTGTCTGTCCAATATAGCCACTGGCTCCTCAACATAGGATAGATCCTTGTCCAACTGGACTGAACTGAAATCCAACATGTGCGATGGATCACCGTGATACCTCCGGAGCATCGAAACATGAAATACCGGGTGAACTCCGGCCAAACTGGGAGGTAAGGCAAGCTCGTAAGCAACCTCCCCAACTCGCCTCAAGATCTCAAAAGGGCCAATAAATCTCGGACTCAACTTTCCTTTCTTCCCAAACCTCATAACGCCTTTCATAGGCGAGACCCGAAGCAGAACCCGCTCACCAACAAGATATGAAACATCACGAACCTTCCTGTCCGCGTAACTCTTCTGTCTGGACTGGGCTGTACGGAGTCTATCCTGAATCGTCTTAACCTTCTCCAATGCATCCTGTACTAACTATGTGCCCAATAGCCTGGCCTCACCCGGCTCAAACCAACCCACCGGGGATCTACACCTCCTGCCATATAAAGCCTCATACGGCGCCATCTGAATGCTGGACTGATAACTATTGTTGTAAGCAAACTCCGCCAGTGGCAAGAAATGATCCCAAGACCCTCCAAACTCAATCACACACGCACGGAGCATATCCTCAAGAATCTGAATAGTGCGCTCGGATTGTCCGTCCGTCTGGGGGTGAAATGCTGTGCTCAACTCCACCCGAGTGCCTAACTCCTGCTGCACGGCTCTCCAAAACCGCGATGTAAACTGAGTACCTCTGTCTGAAATGATAGAAATTGGAATACCATGCAGACGGACAATCTCCCG